GAGCTGCGGTGAATACAGCACCATTGCAGTAATGCTCATAGGCCGCTCAGTATTTTGAGCAAGCTGTTTAAATGCTTTCATCATTAAAACTCAGGTTTTTTATATATTTGCTATCTAAAAAGTACTTAAAACACAGCTTTTCGTGTCTATTGTGATTTTGTGAAACAAGACCATTATTAGTAATAGGAAACCTGTCACCTTGGACTTGGAGACTATTAATAATAGACATTCTAATTAAAAAGTACCAAAGCCTTACGCTTTTAGCTTAACATCCCAAAACATAACTGTATTCTGTTTTTATGTTAGAATTAAATCAAAGTAAGGAACCACTTGTTCCAGTTGCAAGACCACCCATCGTCTGAGCTACCGATCATAGGTGGCTGAGTAGTTTATTGGGATCTTCCTCACCGTACATATGTTGAAAGATGCTAATGTTGTCTGATGTCATGGTAACCTGCAATAGATGCTCATTTTGTACTGGATGCAGAATTGGATTTACACATAGATGGCAATTCACAGACCCCTAAGATTCAGCAACATTCAGGGAAAGTGTGATTGAAGGCGAGATGTCTTACCTGGCTCTCTTGTGCCTTCATCATGCTCACAAACCAAGTACTACAACACAATACTGCATTTTTTGAAGGGGAGAGGAAATAAGAGGGCACCTGAGAATACTGTGTTTATAGACACCTGAGATAAAACTCTAAACCTTGACTGAATTTGGAAGAACTGAGAAGCGGTAGTTCAGTAAATAAGGCCACCAGAGGGTGTACCCTTACCCAATACCTGTTGCACGCCATCCTAGGCAAGTCCATTTCATGAACTTCCAGGGAAACTTATCTAGACCTATCCATATCTGTCTCTTGCTCTCCTAAATAGCCACACTCCACTCTCACCTTCAGCTCTGCTACTTTTCCACCTTGTTTGGTGGCTTGCTGCCCTGTGTGTAAGCTCATTTGAGTAGGGTCCCTATCTACCTATTATTCCTGTGTCACTGTGTAATCGTCTCATTTATTGTAAACCCCCTCTCCCCCTTTCATAATATTTTAAAGCGGTGCGGAATTAATTGGCGCTATATATAAATACTAATAATGTTAATAATGAAATACAACCAACTTGCAAAGTGAAAAAAAAATTAAATAAACTGTGTAGCAAGATTCCTGACCTGATACCTTTAAATGATCTTAGATAATGTAATCACTTTCCTGGAATTCCTCTTATACCACTCTATTGTATATAGTATAGGTAGAATCATGTGAAGTATCACTCGAGATGTGTTTATGTCAAGAGCCAAATGGTCACAAATAGCCAAAGAGATATAATCTCTGGAGTCCCAGATATTTTCCTGATGCAAGGAAGAAGGTGTCAGAATCTATTTTAACCCCTTAAGGACACATGTGTTACATGTCATGATTCCCTTTTATTCCATAAGTTTGGTCCTTAAGGGGTTAAAGGAATGTGAGAGAAAGATAGAGAGAGTGTTCCCACTTTTTATGTCTTTATAAAATATTTTACCCGGAAAGATACATTGAGATTTCTCTCATTTTCAAGTATGTCCTGGGTCCACAAAACATTGCATTGATACATTAGGGTACAATAAGATACAAAAACTATATTAATACACAATATATACAAAATTTAACATAGAACAGGTAGGAAATATATAATCAACCATGATGGATGCTCCTATCGCTTCTTGAGGATTCCAAGCACTCTAGCTGACACCACAACCACCACAAGCCAAACCTCTCTTCCTTCAGAGCGAAGCAGGAACTAGCTCTTAAAAGAGTTTAGGAGTGATTATTGCAAGGGAATATGCAGAGCATAGCAGATTGCCCCAATAAGAGACAGCACACAAATTGAGGGTGAAGTAGAACTGTCTAAAACTTTATTTTACTTGGGACAAGCCCATATGGTCATTACATTAACATTGCTGTGAAAACTCAAGAAAATTACAAACAGTCAAATCATAGCAGGCAACATACAGTGACTTATTATAACATAATTACATATTTATAAATGGGTGGGGAAGACCATAATTAACACAAATTGTCTCTCCTGCATGCAAAATTAGCGATTTGCAAATCTACCCGAATATGCAAATTACCAGTCTTGCTATTCAGGTAGTGTATATTACTGTTGCTACCAACAGAGGGCACTACACAAGCTCCATAGCCAAATCCACCTAGTTGGTAGCAATCCTCAGTAGTACAGGAGAGCAGAGAGCAGGCAATACATCCCAGGGGCCATAGTCACATGGCAGGAGGCTGGCAATCAGTCTTCTCCAATGCCCAGTGGCGAGGCTGGTTCTGCCACAACATGCATTCTGTTTTGAGGTATGTAGAGAGGGATCTCTTAAAGGACTTTAGGCTTGGGGAAGATTTTAAAGTGTGCGGGAGGTCATTCCACAATTGCCGCGCTCTGTAGGAGGAGGAGGATCGGGCTGCTTTCTTTTTGTATTGAGTTAGACTAAGTAAAGTGCTGGTACTGGATCGGAGGTTATAGGAGGTGGGAACAGCTGAGGAGAACATTCTGCTCAGGTACGGTGGGAGCTTGCCTGAAAAGCTCTTAAACACAAGGCTGGAAAGATGAAGGGTGCGTCTGGATTCCAGCGACAGCCAGTTTAGTTCTTTTAGCATGTCACAATGGTGGGTCCTGTAATTACATTGTAGCACAAAGCTGCAGCATGAGTTATACAATGTGTTGAGTTTATTAATGTGGGATTGCGATGCAGATGCATATACTACATCCCCATAATCAGTGATTGGCATCAGCATTTGCTGTACAATCTTCTCCTTTACTGTAGGGCTTAGGCAGGACTTTAAAATAGATCAAAGTTAATCTATACATTGTGCTAGCTAAACTAACAGGCAATGCATAAATTAAATATAACTCATAAATGTATCCTATTATTTTTATTTTATTTTCCTATCTAGCCGATAGTTCTATGTTTTAGGAATAGAGATTAAGAAATAACTTAAACAACGTGGTCGAATATTCCCAAATGCGTGTTGGTACACTCTGCACAGGCAGCAACGGCCCAGGTTAGTTTTGCACACCACTTGCTCTAAATTATATGGACACCCATTGCTGGAGTGCCCATTAGAGAACCAACCTGGTAAGGAAGGTCAGGGGTACAAAATAAAGATGGACCGTCTCATTCCAGGACAGCGTATGCATTTGCTACTGATTGTAGTTTTACTTTTAGATTGCAAAATAATTTTGGACAGGGTCCTCTTCACCTACTGTTCTTAAATGTCAAACGTATATTGTTAGAAATAATTATTTGTCCTGGACATCTTCTCTTGGAAGCACATGGCTGGTAATTTATCATGTGTTGTACTATTACGACAAATGGGGTCCTGTAATGATATCCTTAGGGTTTATTGCTTAAAAGGGGAATCGACCAGGGAATTAAAAAATGTAGGCTAACATAGTTGATTTAGAGTATTCTTCTAATTTGGCTATTTTTAGTTAAAATTTAAATTTGCCTGGTCAATCCACATCAATTCCTAGTTCAGTGCATAGCTTTGAGTAATTTAAGGGTGGTCTATATGGCATACTGCCAAGCAATGACTTACCCACCTTCCATCCACTTAAAGAGTTAAACTGGGTTACCTAGCAACATCTTAATGTAATTCTTCTCAGCATGAGGAAGACAGAAGGGGTCTCTCTACTTCCCAGACAGACACCAAATTTCATCGTTTCTAAACAAACAGTGATAATAACACCGAGCTTTTCGTCACATTCTCACAGAGGAAACAAACAGCAAAGCGTGATTACACGTACACATATTAATAAATGTAGTTGGTAGAAATCTTCATACACACAGCAGTATCAAGCTTTAAGAAAATATAAACGGAACAGAAATAATTTTGAATTATCAAGTGACAAGTAGAAATTTATAAGATAAGACAAAAACACACTCATGTCTTATAGAGCTACTAAAAGCTCGAACATTTTCATATTTAACATCTACGCTGACAATATTCGAGCTATTAGTAGCTCTGTAAGACGTGAGTTTGTTTTTTGTCATAACTACTAATTCCTACTTGTCACTCCATACCGCACTATTATTCTTGTTCCGTTTATATTTTTTAAGGCTTGATTCTGCTGTGTGTATGAAGATTTCTACCAACTACAGGAATACTAACTGCAGCATTTTGGCAAAGCAGTCTATCTAAAGCCTCAATTTGGAGAATTTACTTTGCTCTAAAACCACATTTCCATTGTCAGTTCTCCACAATACTTGGAGTAGTGAATTAACCCCGTAGGAGAGAATAGATACCCAACTTGCTTAAAGGAACGCTGTAGACACTGTAACTGCTTCATCGCATTGAAATGGTAATAGTGACTGGAGTCCCTTGGCACTGTCCCTCCACTCATTGTTAAACCGTTTTCGAGTAGCCTAGCACTAAATAATGGTCCTGGCCACCAAAAGCCTTTTCCCCACTGGAAGTATGAGTAAGGCAAATATTACACACTTCATTCTAGCCATACCAAATCATACCAGTAACAGGAGCTGTGATAGGCTGAAATCGATTAGCTGACACTCTCAGCCAATCACAGCTGCCCATTCCTATTCCAAAGTGTTAAATATTTGCGTTTAGGCAAATAACTGCTTGTTTTGTCATTGGTCCTTAATGAGTAACACAGATAAAACCAATTTTCACCAGTCTACAGCCAAGATATGCAATGGATGAGTACAAAGTTCAACATTTCTTAGAAGAAGCCACCAATTTATCTAAGAGGCAACATAGAAATGAAGAGAATAGAGAGAGAATTTCAGGGAATTAAGTAAAATTAACACCACTTTTAGCTGTGTAGTAATGTGAGGAGGAATGCGGGTAAGAAGGCAAAAGATCCAATTCTGTATATATTTTATTTAATTCAATCTTTATTGAAATGTTTTTTTCCATTTATCTGGTCAATGTAACTGAGATGGACATGCTGCCAGACTGCACTGCATTATGACGACCTTGATTATTGAAAATTCCAGGTTACATCTCAGCCTCAGGAGAACTTTCAACAATGGGCATATCAATCTCCATGTTTTCAATTAAATTGCCTTCAATTCTGGAGATGCCGACATTTATATCAGTATCTGGTTGGTCGTCTGTGTTTATGGTATAGGCAGCGAGTTTCTTATCGAGTTCATCCAATGTCATTCTGGGACCAGTGGACCATTTTCTCGAATACGGTCTTCCACGGGGGCCATGTCCTCCTTTGCCTCTTTTCATCTGACCTCCCCAACCTCTTCCACCGTTCCTCTTACCATGGCACATCAGGATCTCATTCCTCATTCCTAGGTCACATTCCCACTTGCCAATTTTACCTGTGTGCCAAAAATCATTCCTAGGGTTTTCTTCTCTGACTTGGTGATTTTGTCCTGTGAAAGACATGCCTTTCCAGTTCTTCTCTCTCCCGTAACTCTCAGTGAGCACCCTTTTCTTTTGAAACACTGCAAATTCTGTTCTACCATCCAGTCTCCCAGATTTGGCCAGGATATTGCTCTGATAGCTCATCTGATATGATCTTGTCAGCTTCATTTTGCCTTGGGCTACACGCCAGTTACCCATCTGCTGATTAAACCCAAGGTTTCCAGAAGTACATTTTTGCCACATTTTCTCACAGAAATTCACCTGTGGGTTGTCTTTCATGACATAAAAAAAACTATTGGTTTGGGAGAACTTCATAGTGCGCTGCAGCTCACGTTTAGATATGGGCAGGGCCGACATATTATTTACTGCAATATTGTCTTCTGTTGAGCCAGAAGATTGTCTTTTCCGTCTTGAATTCCAACCACTTATGGTCTGTGGAACTTTGCTGCTTTCATCACAGACAAGCCTGGAGTTCTCCTTGTTATAACATCACATCATGATATCATGACATCACAGTTGCTTTATGCAAATCAGATTTGCTGCTTCATTATCAAGCTGCTGTAATACCTCTTTAATCCTCTGTTAACCAATTAGTGGCAAAAAATACTCTGATGCTGACCTATGTATATTGCAATGAGATTTATTACTACCCCACATAATAGTGCTAATGTCTCCTATAAAATAAATTTATATATATATATTTTTTGTTTTATTCACATTATACTTTATATTTGATATCAGTACTTTACATTCTGAACCAAAACACAACCTAGAATTTAACCCCTTAAGGACCCATGACATGTGTGACATGTCATGATTCCCTTTTATTCCAGAAGTTTGGTCCTTAAGGGGTTAAACTATATGTTTGTTCAACCATAATTCACAGACTTATATTATATCATTTTGTTCAGGAGAAATTGGGCTTTCATTTCACATCAAATATTTATGTATGACATTATTTAGTAATAATTTAATATCATTCAAATCTAAAAAAAAGTGTGTGAAATTAAGAAATTTTGTCATATTCCATGTTGTCAGCACTGGAAAGCGTAAAGGGACACTATAGTTGTCATACCTCCTCGCAGCTCACGCTGCTCCGATCCTGCCGTCCATCCTGCTCCGCCTGGCTCTGCTGACATCCGGCCGATGTCACGCGCGCGCATACACGTGCTAGGGCCGTGCGGCTTGTTCCTAAAATCTTAAATCTACAGTACCACTCTTTCATGTGAACTGATACTCTTTATATTCTACCCTATTCTATTCCCTAGCCTGTTAGATCCATCTTAGCCCTATTTATACCTCCCTCCTACATCACTTCCTTGCCCTGTCGTGGTCTATTGTAGCCCAAGAGTGCATTCTGTCTGCTTGTGTTTTCTTGGTATCTGACTTTGGCTTGTCTCTGGTTATTCGTATTTCTGGCTTCCCTGACCCTTGACTTGGTTTATCGTTTGTTCTTCCTTCTCCGACCCTGACCTTGGCTCATCTGATTATTCTGTTTACTCTCCTTACTACTTCACGTTAAGACTGGTAATACGTCTAGCTTGAGTTGCCTGTTTAGTCCTATAGTTAGTGTGTTGGGGGAACGTAACCTTAACAATAGCCACCAAAACAACTTTAGCTTAATGAAGCAGTTTTGGTGTATAGATCATGTCCATGCAGTCTCATTGCTCAATTCTCTGCCATTTAGGAGTTAAATCACTTTGTTTTTGAACTGTAGTCACACCTCCCAGCATGTGACTTGCACAGCCTTCCTAAACACTTCCTGTAAAACGTCATCTAAAGTTTATCATTCTTTTATTGCAAGTTCTGTTTGATTAAGATTTTCTTATCCCCTGCTATGTTAATAGCTTGCTAGACCCTGCAAGAGCCTCCTGTATGTGATTAAAGTTTAATTTACAGAGAAAGAGATACAATTGTTTAAGGTAAATAATATCTGATTGAAAGTGAAACCAGTTTTTTTTTCCATGCAGGCTCTGTCAATCAGAGTCAGGAGAGGTGTGACAAGGGCTGCAAAAACAGAAACATAGTGATTTAACTCCTAAATGGCAGTGCATTGAGCAGTGAAACCTGAGAGGCATGATCTTTACACTAAAACTGCTTCATTAGGCTAAAGTTGTTTAGGTGTCTATAGTGTTTTTTTAACACTTGTTGTGACAAACTCCCCTTTTCACGTGAGTTTGCCACAAGCTCCTGGAGGAGCATTCTTGCCAGCCTCCTGCCCACAGACTATTGGCCCTGTAATATACACTGAAAAAGTTTCAGTTCGTTTATTTGGACTATATGGTTTGGGAACCGAACAGCCGCATGAAGCGGAGATCACCCAGGAACTTGTTAAGTCTAATTGATACTTTGTAGCAATTTCCACCTCAGTGTTCTAAGTGTTCGTCTGGGTGGCCGCATTTCCTATGGATGACCACTAGGTGGCAGCCATCTTGTTCACATGAACACAGGCAGCGGTATTTGGTCGTTGAGTTCATGGAACTATTTTCAGACACTGAAACTCCCGAACACCGTTGGACTTCCATGATCGCCTCTGTTGGGTGTTATAACACTTAGGAAGACACTGTTTGGGGGAAACATCCCCACGAACAAGGGGAACAAGCTCCAGGGTAAGAACATTGACTATGTTTGGTAGTTTGTTCATTTTTAAACTACCGAACTAGACTGACTTCCAGGAAAATCCTGAACACCTGAACCAATCTGGGTGATTTTTGGATATGTTGGTCACCCAGATTGGGCCTATCGGGGGATATAACGTTGTGGGGGTTTTATGTATTTTTATGTTACTTTTGGGGTGTTTGTGAAATGTGTGTTTTTTTGTGCCTGGAGATAATTAAGTTTTGTACAGTTCCTGACTCAATTATCTCCCAGGCATATGGGAGGGATTATCATGTTTTCTGTGGAAGTGTCGTGGGCGTGCTTGTCACCCTAGAGCAAGATTGGCCTGATGGGCGAGAACCCCAGACTACGACTGGCGTGCTGGTGAGAACCCCAGACCACGATTGGCATGCTGGGTGAGTAGGCAAGCCAGATCATTAGGACATGCTATGCCGCCCTATCGTCATTAAAACCTTGATTTGCAGGACAGCATAGCACCCCCTAACATCAGGAAGGGGTAACGTTAGTGTTTTGAAATAATATGTGTTTGCCTAACTGGCCGTAGGGCTGGTATGTCATATCTTCTTCCATTCTTTGCTATTACAACTGACAAGGAGAACTTTAGAGAACACTAATATCTATCGTGGGCCCTCTGTTATAGGGGGGTCAGCCAAAGCCAAATCAGTTTTACTTGAATTTTATAGGATTGAAACGCTATGGGCCATTACCACATAATTTCACGTGCATGCTGAATGTGTTTAAAGTAGCAAAGGGTTAATTTTAGACAGGAACTTAGGGTAGCGTGTGGCAGGTGATGGTGGGTGAGGGCAGGTAAGGGTGCGTAATAACGTATATATGAAGCTGTTCTTGGCTTTGTTAGTCTCTTGAGCCGACGATTCAGTAAGAAAATCTCACCTTGCAAGGAGCTTAAATCAGGATGCAAATTTTTTAATGTACACCGCGGTCTCACATACATGGGTATACAAACAAAATAAAATCTGGGGGGAACAGCTTTTAACTAAAAAAAAATATTCCCCTTCATTTTGAGGCAAGACTGCCTACCTTAAGCCGCATAAATGTTATACAAACATACGCACTACAGAATACCACACACATAACATAGAACTCTGGCATTTATTCACTAAATAGAGAATCAAGTCTTTTTTAACCTAGATTTTGTAATACTGCTTTAAATGTTGCCACAATGAATTGTTTAGTGAACTAAAGTGTGAATTTATGTATGTTGTCAGTTGTGTGTGCTTGTTTATGTACTTGTGAATGCAAGAGTGTCTGTTACTGTAGTGAATGTGTAAATGCAGCAATGTAACTATGTACAGTGCAAGTATGTAACTGCAAAAGTCAGTGTGCATTGTTAGTGTGAATAAAAAAGGTTATTGATGTGTATTGTGTCAGTGTGAATTTCTGTTTGTATTTGCATTGTGTAGGTAATTCATGAATGCATACTGGTAAGGATACATGTGTAGACTTTTGCTAGCTGAATTGTGCATAAGTGGTGTTTATGTGTATTTATAAAGTGTTTGTTTATGAATTATGTGTATGAATGGCTGTATTGATGTTAGACATTTACACCAGGCACCATGACTACTTCAGTGTTTTAAAGTGGTCATGGTGTTTGGCGTCTGTATGTGCAGTGTTTCACGTCCAATTTGTATGACTGGTCAATGTGTGTGATTGTAGGAGTTTATCTGTGTGAAAGGTCAATGTATGTGATTGTAGGAGTCTATCTGTGTGAATGGTCAATGTGTGTGATTGTAGGAGTTGGTCTGTGTGACTAGTCAATGTGTGTTATTGTAGGAGTTTATCCGTGTGAATTGTCAATGTGTGTGATTGTAGAAGTCGGTCTGTGTGAATGATCAATGTGTGTGATTGTAGGAGTCGGTCTGTGTCAATGGTCAATGTGTGTGATTGTAGGTGTCGGTCTGTGTGAATGGTCAATGTGTGTGATTGTAGGAGTCGGTCTGTGTGAATGTGTGATGGTCAATGTGTGTGATTGTAGGAATCGGTCTGTGTGTCAATGTGTGTGATTGTAGGTGTCGGTCTGTGTGAATGGTCAATGTGTGTGATTGTAGGTGTCGGTCTGTGTGAATGGTCAATGTGTGTTATTGTAGGAGTTTATCTGTGTGAATGGTCAATTGTGTGTGATTGTAGGAGTCGGTCTGTGTGAATGGTCAATGTGTGTGATTGTAGGAGTCGGTCTGTGTGAATGGTCAATGTGTGTGATTGTCGGTCTGTGTGAATAGTCAATGTGTGTGATTGTAGGAGTCGGTCTGTGTGAATGGTCAATGTGTGTGATTGTAGGAGTCGGTCTGTGTGAATGGTCAATGTGTGTGATTGTAGGAGTCAGTCTGTGTGAATGGTCAATGTGTGTGATTGTAGGAGTCAGTCTGTGTGAATGGTCAATGTGTGTGATTGTAGGAGTCTATCTGTGTGAATGGTCAATGTGTGTGATTGTAGGAGTCGGTCTATGTGAATGGTCAATGTGTGTGATTGTCGGTCTGTGTGAATAGTCAATGTGTGTGATTGTAGGAGTCGGTCTGTGTGAATGGTCAATGTGTGTGATTGTAGGAGTTTATCTGTGTGAATGGTCAATGTGTGTGATTGTGGAGTCGGTCTGTGTGAATGGTCAATGTGTGTGATTGTAGGAGTCGGTCTGTGTGAATAGTCAATATGTGTGATTGTAGGTGTCGGTCTGTGTG